CTGGGGAATTCTGGGAGTTGATGTCCACACAGCTTAAAGTTGCTAAGGTTGAGAAACACTGTCCTAAACAAAGGAAGTGTGTTTTCCGCAGTTCTAGTTGAGCATCCGCAGCTGTTCGATTCAGTGGGCAGCTGCTGCAAAAGAATTTGGTACATCAGGGTCAGGACCTTTTGGGTGGCCAAGGAGCAGCACTTCGTGGAGTATGGGATGGGGAAGAACCACAGTGGGTGGGTGATGAAGCAGAGCGGGTGGAATCACGTATATAGACAGAACTCTGGTGTTCTGTTCTTCCCCCCTCCTCTTTTCAGAGTTATTCGCTGAACGGCGTTAAGCTCTTTTTTAAGCTTGGGCCAAATCTTTCTTAGATTTTCCACATGCATATTTGGCAGGAAAGTGAAATTTGGCAGGCTTGTTCAGCTCCAGCTGGAAAAAGGAAGTGATGCAAGGGAGGTCAAAGCACGGCTTGTTTGCTCCTACTGTATGTGTATTGCATCTCTGTTAAATTAAGTGACTGTGTCTACACCCCCCCACCGAGTTTCATCGGGCCCTCACCCTGCTGTTCTTGTTTTTAGAAAAACTAAAAACGTGTGTTTTTTTTTTTCAAAGAGGGCAAAGCGAGGCAATTGGTGTCCCTGCTTGGTTAATGATGAGTGGCTGGAAATTTTTTGCTTGGTATGTTTTCTCGACGTGCTAGCATTTCTGCATTTGGTTGAGTTTTTAAGATGTTTTTTAACCGCATACTGCCTGGAGTCTTCTGACCTGGCAGCCTTACAGATCTAATCAATTAATATTACAATCATCATCGTTTTCCTCCTCCCCTGCTCTGTCTTTTTTTAGCTCTGCCATTTTTACCGCCATTGTGACATATATGAAGCACCTGGGGGTTAAGACGAAGGCCGCCGATAACAAGAAGTCAAAAGCGAACTTCTTCCGCAAGAAGGTACGCTTTAAAAATAATCAGTGCATTGGGACAAGGTAAGATTGGGTTCTTAATGCAGAAACTGCAGTTCCAACTTGGCAGAACTGGAATCTGTCTCAGATGAACCCTGTTCCAGTTGATGGTTTGTTCATGAGACTCCATACCCACTTCATCCCAGATGACTCTAAGCCAGTGTTTAGGAATTCTGGGAGTTGAAGTCCACACATCTTCAAGTAGCCAAGGTTGAGAAACACTCCTCTAAGCAGTTGGCAGCCTGGGATTGGGAACAGATGGTAAATTCTCCTCTCTGGCTCCTCCAGATTTCAGGGGCCAAGAAACCCGAGGAAGCTCTCAAACCGAAGAAAGGCTTTAGCATTTTGGACCCAACGCGCTGGAACCGTGGGGATTCCCATTGTAAGTAAGCAACATGAATTCCTTAGCCTGGGCCAGGAACCCACATGCCCTTTACTTAACTCGCTCTCCTAAGCCCCCAGCCGTAAGGTTTCCTTAGGACAGGGGTCAGCAACCATCTGGCCCCATGCCACCCCAACCACTTCTTTGAGGCTCCTGAAGTCCTGCCAAGATTGAACTGCCAAATTACAGCGGTCTGGTTTTTGGGGTTTTTTTTTAATGTTTTAAAACAAATAACAGTAAAACTGAACCTCCAGTAAGCTTAAGAGAAGGCTTTCTCCCTCAGACAGGTAGAATCCCAAGATTCCAGAAATATTTCCATGACCTCCTTTTGCAAAAGCTTTTTTTTCCCCTTCATGTAGCCCCCACTCCCACCCCCTTGGAAAAAATGTTGCCAGCCGGTCCGTGGCTTAAGCCAACCATCATGCCATTCAGGTGTTCCCTTTTGAAGCAGAAGGAAGAAAAGAGCTAAGTGACTTGTTCTTCCAAAAACAGTAAAAATATAAGGTTGCTGGAAGCAAATCTGGGTTTACTCCAATTTCATTGGGTGCCAGTACTAGCTTGGGACCTGTCCCAAAATTGACCTCAAAGGATTCTTCAGAAGCATCCTTTGGAAAATGGCTATTTTCTTCTTTTTCTTCTTCCTGTTTCGAAAGCTTGTGGTTATGGTTGCTAGGCAAATAAGGAATAAATATTTTGCCAGCCCACAAAACAGTGATTCATTTGCATGCATCGGATCAGCTTGGTTGGTGAGTCTGGCGTGCTTCTTGTCCAAAAGCAGTTTTGGGCA